GTAGGTGTATTTATAAATATGATATGTACAAGTATCACGGACTAAAATCATTTTCAATTTGACTTGTTAGTTTTACCATGCACATTCGTTGGAATGCTTTTAAAAATTAAACTGAATGCGAGGAAACAATCGTTTACCTGTTGCTTCCGTTAATGTATACCTTGCTCTCATTTGAGAACATGCCATAACTCGATGAAGCAGAAGGCGCTTGCTCTTCCGGAACACCCTATTTTATTATCCTGGTACATTTTCAAAAGTCTCTGTGTAGATCTTTCTTTTGTTCATATCTGGTCCTAGTTCTAATGAATTTGAGTTTGGATTATGATGACGTTGACAAGTCGATACTTTCTTTTTGTTTTTGTTTTGTTTTTGTTTTTTGTTTTTTTGTTTTGTTTTTTTTTTTGTTTTTTGTTTTTTGTTTTTTTGTGTGTTTTTTATCTGATGTTACATTATTGGACAAAGACAGGTGGTTGTTATAGAAGACAAATTCTACCTAATTGAAATCCTTAATAATTGTAGATATGGCGAATACTTACTTAGACACGATGGCAAGTCATGTTGACACATATCTTTCGAGTAATAAATATCGAATAGATATTTTTACATTTAAATCTGTTAAAAATATGTTTGGATGTGATACAAAAACAACAGTTCACACACACAAAAAAAGATTTAAATTGTTACACAAGAATATTTATTTACAAGTAATTTTCCGGGTGTTGTGATATAAGAACACATATTCAATGTTAACTCAAAATTATAATTGGTTTTAAGTAAGAACAAGTTTTGCATATATTTCACCAAATTGGAGAAACTTTTCCGAAATGTATTTTGTGCATGTTATACAAATTATACGTTTTTTTAAAAATACATGATACTATAACTGTATCAACAACAATATTTACAGTATTTTGTGTAATACCTGGTAAATCATATGAAACAACTTATAAAATCTAGATATGTATGGATGTTAAAATATATCACATAAAGTTTCATTAAATACATTTTTCTTGTTTCCTGAATACTTTGATAATACCTCCACAATTTACAGGTAGTCACATGGAATGATAAAAGATATGTTGACCTGACAGAGTGCCAGCGTTCTAGATTTCCACCTGTTGTAGGACATGTTTACTCTCAGGTGTCGTATCCCAGTACAAGGAAATACATGTACAGGGTGACTTTGTCTGTGTATGTAACTGTTACTAGATAAAGGTAACTGTCTCCCTGTGTTAGTGAATTACGTACTTTATAGATATAGGAATCTTGTATTTTACATATTTATATATATATTGTATAGGTAAACAATGGCGTGTGCCTCTATCCGATTAGCAATTGCATGTATAACTGAAACAAATAATTGATTTTTTTTTTTACTTTTTTTAATATAAAAAACAACCTAAACCGCAATTGATCTGCAGAGTTAAATTCACAATACTGACATTATCGACAGTTGGTGCAGAACAGAAGTCCTCTAGACCTAAAACATGGTATCGGATTCTTCTGAAGGGGAGAGATCGGATTTTTCTGAAGGAGAGAGATCGGATTTTTCTGAAGGCGAGTGATCGGATTTTTCTGAAGGCGAGTGATCGGATTTTTCTGAAGGAGAGAGATCGGATTTTTCTGAAGGAGAGATACTGGATTTTTCTGAAGGAGAGTGATCGGATTTTTCTGAAGGAGAGAGATCGGATTTTTCTGAAGGAGAGAGATCGGATTCTTCTGAAGGAGAGAGATCGGATTCCCTAACAGATATTATATATATATATATATGTTTCGAACGTTTAAATATGATTATAACATAGCTTAAAGAAAATAAATCATTACACAAGTACTTTTCTGTTACTGTTTCATATTTGGTGATAATGAACTTAACTCGACTATTCTAATAATTAAAGGAGGGGTTGATATTTGGTGATAATGAACTTAACTCGACTATTCTAATAATTAAAGGAGGGGTTGATATTTGGTGATAATGAACTTAACTCGACATTTGTGACGCACATAACTTGACTTTGAGTTGAGGAAGTATTTTTTTGTAATTAGTAATAATCAACATATTTTCATAGAAATGTTACTAAATATAACAAATAATCTATGATGATATGAATGATGACATTTAACGTCCCTGTCTTCTCAGATCAGTTGAGACTACATTATCTATGTTGTTATGAAATCACACCGGATCATTATAGCGTTGCTGTATTGTTTACATATTAAAATGCTAGTTAAAGGGAGACGATATATGGCGATTAATTTAGGCCTCCTTAAACCTTTCATCGATCCCGGTGTTTTGTGGGAATGTCTTTGTTATCTCCTGTTGAATTGGGAATTCTTTAAGCTTCTTTTCATTACCTCTACCGTATTCACATCGTGAATGTACGATGTCCATAAAATACTTATAGCGAATTCTAAAAACAGAAAATACTTATAGCGAATTCTAAAAACAGGAAATACTGTTACGACAGCCAGGGGAAGTAACTCCTAAACACTGGTTAATAGATATCCACATGATGATGTACCTTAAAATTATTTGTATCATATATTCTTTTATTTATCTTTCATTTGTTTTCGAGATACCGATATGATTATTGAAATTAGTTAATTGACATGAAGAGAAAACATATCAATTTGATGACATACGAGATGTTTTGGGTCAGTTTGTTATTGGAAATTTCAGTGAGTATTAGGAAGCAGATAAACAATTTTTTGAGATTTTCATAGTGAAAGGAAATGCAATTTTGTTTATGAATTAAATGTGACTACATAGTAATAAATATTACCATATATATGTTTCGAAATTCCATCCATCCAGACTGATAGTTACTGGATCGTGTGTTTAGGACAGAGGGTCCGGTTGCTGCCTTTATATGTGCAAAAATTGTTTTGACCAAAGTCGTTATTCATTACTTTTAATCTTCGTGAGAGAAAACAGCGTGTCATGTGCTAAACACAAACAAACCCTACTTTACTGAAGAAAGTAATCTTATCATACAAACAAGTCATGCACGATACAAATAAACATTTGTGTCGTGAAAAGAGATCAACAAGTTTATGGTGTAAAGAGACACATATAAACATTTCATGTACAGAGGAAAATATCGACTTGCCAAGATATCACTGGACATGCAGATTTTGTTGATGTCATCTCTTGATATAGATAAAAGCCGGTCTTGTCAATAAATTACAACGACCACCAGGAAATTCTGTCAATATCAGATTACACGCGTGGATTATCATATCGTAGTGTAGGTAACTTAATGCTTTGAAAACACCGAGTCAAATTAGATTTTTGCAATCCATTTATTATGTCATGATTGAAATATTTCCTAAAGTTACTTTAATTTTCCGTGATTACGTGTACCGAGAAGTAACTGGTGGCTATGTTTTATTTACTATGGAGATGCCTGAATTACATCACAGACTGGTATATCATCGGTATACTGTTGACATTCAAATACAGTCAAATTTAATGCATGTGACGTCATACAATTTTTTTTATAGATGTAGAAGTATCTGTCTCTATCCGAAAGTAAACAATTATTCTTTTTCCCGGGACAACGGATACATATTTCCCCAAGACCACCTCATCTGTAGGGACATGCTTTTGTGTTTAATTCATAACTTTGTATTTGTTTTATGTTCTATGTAATATTTTCCTGATAAAGGGATAGATTGCCTCGAAAATTTGACAATTCACTTGTCAGTACTGTCGTTGTTACTTCATTGATCATATATCTATTCCAGTAAGACGCATATAACGAACATTTGTTAGGATCCAGTACCAACATTGGGCCATACCGTCGATATTACTTACTAGATTATGTATATATATATTAAAATAACTTCAAATAGCACGTTGAACAATGCATTCATATCTGAATCTTCATGGAGAGCAACAGCGTGTTGTTTACAGTTATTTTAATATATTTCAAACATTGTGAATTCAACCTTTATATTTAAATACACACACATACACACACACACACACACACACACACACACACACACACACACACACACACACACACACACACACACACATACATACATAGTCACATCAAAATTATTTAGTCAATAGGTAGGCAGTGGGAGAATAACCATGGCCAAATTATACTAGTAAGAGTTATTTCCCTTGTGTTGTATCATAGCCCGATACTCTGTATATTAAGTAGTCAACCTATATATCATGTTTATAATGAAGTGATAAAAACAATATTTTAGTACTTGTGAATGCACCGACATGACTTTGATAAAGACGACTGTGATGTTTGTCTCTGATTGCAGACATATCATTCTTTGTTATCGGTTTTTTGATTATTGGAGCAGTTAACTCGCTTCCTGTCCAATAAGTATAACCGGGAACACGTATTTTTCCTCTTTTCGAACTATTGAACCTTCTTAAGAGTGATACGAGATATTTATTTGTAACTAAGAATTGTATCTAACATCATTTTTCCTCCGTCGGTTGTCTCCCTTTCCACCTTTCTCTTATCTGTATCCCCATCATTACTGTTCGTTACCTTCTTTGTATTTCGATTCCCTATGTTATGTGTTATTTACATGTGTTTTACTTGAATTCATTTCAAAACGGTACCCTGGAACAATTCTATATATGTTATAATGTTTCAAGCTTTTATTTGTAGTTTTTTTTAACTTTTAAACGCTGTTTTGTATATTTTATCATATTTAAAATATTTGTAAAGAAAATGTAAATTTGTTTTTTAGTTTATTATTTCTTTACGATTTTCAGAGCCTTTCAAGGAAAAAATGACGAAAAAAAAATCAAATTTGAAGAAATATCGTTTGTTTATTTTTTGCATTTTTCACCACAAATTTAACAACTCGTTTGAATGGTATTTTTCTGAATATTCACATAGTAGCATAATTATTTTGTTAAAAATTCCAGACAGTCTTGCGAAATCTTGTAAACCGTATTCATAGAGAGAGAGATTGTACGGTTTACAGATTGAGAAAAATTGTTGTATCTGCCACAGTTATTGCTAAGGAAGTCTGAAACCGGCGAAAGTAGTGAGATGGGGTTGTATATCTGCACCGATGGAGTGAGCGGCTACTCTTACCCACACTTCGTCTGTTCTTGCTAAGTTTAATACAGCTGTTGAGGATCCAGATTCTGGAGCCCCTGAATTACCAATCTCTTCCGAGGCAAGGGCGACACCGTTCCGAACGAGTTCGGTGATAACATAGTCGGGATCGTTCAGCAATGTCTGCCATGCAAACACGTGAACTCCTGGCTGGGAACACGTAAATACGCCAGTGTAATTACTGATCTGAGCGTTCACATTGGTCACGATAGAGTCAAAAACAATGTTCTGATGAACTCCGGGATTAAGCATTTGCCGAGTCATTATCGCATAGAAAGCAACAGCAACTAGTGAGGGTCCTAAAATATATAAATATGAAATCCTGATACACATTAGGTATCACATCAGCCAAACATCAATGTGAGCACCCGAGTTGCATAAGCTCTGGGTGCAGCATACCAACTACAACGCATGCATCTATCAACATGTACGCAAGGCATAACAGAATACATACAGATATTATCTATATCAGTTGTAAACGCACGATAAATGCTTACATAAATTACATACACGTGATTTGATAGTGAGTTGGCATGTAAGACATCTGCACACTATATTGTATTTGTATTTGCATATAGTAAATAAAAAGGCCAATGAAATCATTTGCTCTTGGAGTTATTTGTCGTTAATGCGTTGTCAGTGACGCCTAGTGGCGCCACCTACTGCTCTCGATATACCATTACAGTTCAATTGAACACGAAGTGTATTTACATTTGGGTAACATGTACAGAAATACTCCCTCCCTGAACAAATATAATCAATACGACAATGAATCAAAGGATGGTAAATGCAGGCCGTGGTTTTAAAAAATCGATATCAACAATTTTTAAGTGGTGATAACTGCGATAGTTTCAAAATTCAGTTTTACCACAGTTTTCTGGACTTACCTGCGCGCATCATTTCAAGGGGAACTGACTTAGGGGGTGCTGAGTGAATGTCACGTGACTTGTCTGAATGAAATGGAAACGATTGTTTCGTAACATGAAACTCTTCAAGTATATATTTGTTTTCTGCAATTAGTTCGGTCATTTCATCAGTCAACTGTCTGACAGCCTCTTTATCGGCCTCGTGTAGTCCTTGCAATTCTAAAACACTTTCAGAAAACTTGTGTATGTCCGATTTGCGCGCTTTTTCCAGTTCCTCAACACGGTTTTCCAGTTCACGTAAATCTTTTCCACTTGCGCTTTCCATATCGTGGATATATATAGCCAAATCGTTGAAGCTCTCGATGAGGTTGGACAGTGTCGGATTACCTAGACCTTCGGAATAGGCCATTGACAGCATCACGCTTGCCACCAATACAATTAGAACCTTTCTAGTCAACATGCTTACCCTTCACTCGGAAGACACAGCGACTAAGGCTTTCAGTACGAAGTTTTTGCGTTCCATGATAAATAGTGATGTTAAAAAGTCACCCACTGCTTGTTCAGATAATGCCGTGGGTATTGAAACAGATGGTTAAGGTCATTTTTAAAAGAGGACAACTAACGTCTGCGTTATATATAAAATAAGGGAAGCTTTCTTTTATTGATGTTTGATACAGTGAATAAAATTGATGTGCAGAGTTGTACACGAAGACAGGATGGTTTTAACAAACTAGTGTGGTTATATAGTATTCTAAATTATCCATGTACTTTTTCAAATGTCGCCATGAAACAGTTCTCTTTTGTACGTAGTCCTCAGTTTAGAATAAGATCTTTTAGATTTGTCATTGATGCTTCATCCAGACAGTCCAGCTTAACGGTGATTAGGAATCGGTGTGTAAATAATACAAAACTACAATGACCTCTATTTTACACCCTGACACCATGGGACAACGAATAATTCTATTTTAGGAAAACACCTTTAGACCCTTCCATATACAAATGTAACAAAGGTATGGGACTCTACTATATCTGATTCGTGAAAAGATTATCAAAATTAAGGTCAATAAGTCCGATTTCGGCTCCGCACATCAGACTCCTGGGGTCATTTAGAGCTAATATGCACATTCAATCAAACATACGGATAATTCTAACCAAAGTTATCCATTCCTTATCAACATGTAACTCTCAAAATATGTTGTTGTCAGTTGTTCGTCAGCAATCAGTATCTATCCTTTAAAAATCATACCCAGACCATGTGCATCGAATTAAGTAGTAGGAATACATAGCCACTGTAAAAGGAGGCGAAATTCGTAATCAAAATAGATTTTAAAAATCGAGGTTAATGTTATAGGCTGACGCTGAAGATAACCAGTGGCCTTGAAGTGTTATAAGATGACAACATACCATCAATGCACATGGACCGTCGTTGTTTTAGTGAACAATAGTGTTTATTATTTAAGTATTCTTAGTGAGTGTCGGCAATGACGCAGCTTCCTCAGGAACACTTGGTCCTATTCTGGTTAGAATTTTTCATTAAAGATCTCTTATTTTAAGTTTGAATTGTAAATCTGTTGGCGAGTCAGTATTTTTGTTTGTATGTTGATATAAGATAAAGTAATTTTGAAACGTTCAAGGCGTTTGAGAACATGTCATAACCTTGGATTGACTAACATTGATATTTGGAGTGTTGTCGATTAAGAAGAAGACGCTTACCATTCCGCATCACATGTTCAAATTTTCCTTTCATAATTTCAAGGATATCCACGTGAATATTTTCTTTATTTTGTCTCTAATTGATTTTGGATTTGCTTTGTGTTGAAATGTTAATTTGTAACTACCGAGCATCATCTATCCTTCTACCTAGACATCTAAAGTAGAAAGATTTGACACTCAACCAAAAATAAAAACCTTATATTGATAATTACTGCGGAAGAATACTTCAGACAAAGCGGCTTAACGAGACATTCCCTAACAAATCAATCAACACTTTACAACCAAAAAGTATTTAAAATCGACTATTTTCGTGGACTTACAGTAAAAGCTACAAACACTATGTGTACATTAATAACCAACAACGTAAAAGTTGTGATACAAAATTCAGTCTACCACCGAATGGGAATTCCAGGGGAAATTTGGGTTTCGGTATTACGTAAAGTCGTAGAAACAATTAACCAAGAATCCATGAAATCTCGAAATAAAAACATACATGCTGCTCTACTTCTTGTTATCAACCAAGGAGGTAACAATACAAGTCATCAACTCAAGTAGGTTTGTCAGCAGGTACTACACCCACGCTACGATTTGATAAGCGTGAAGAAATGCACATGCTTACTGCTTGTTTGCAGACCTATATGGTTGCGTTGGAATACTCTGTGGCAATTTATCACAAAGAAAGAATGTTATTAGTATTTCTTGCTTTTGTTGGGATATTGTCCCAAACTGTATGCAGTGAGGAACAGTCGAATCCTTTGTATCAAATCAACAAGCCTTTAAGTATCGTGAACCTGGCGAGTCAAGTACACAATTTAAAAAATAATGTCAGATTTCTCCGAACTGCACGCATGAAGGCCAAGATAGAACTGCTGAGACGTGTTGCAGAACTTGAACGTGCACGTGTATTGGACATGCGAGAGTTTAACAAACGGATTACAGACCTGAAAGGTTTACGTGAAACAGACAGTTACGTCATAAAAAATTTGACAGCAGCTTTGAAATCCTTGAAATCAGAAAATGCAGCTTTAAGGACAAAACTGGACCACGAAAAGGCTTCGTCTTATTCAAGAAGGAGTGCTAAACCATATGCTCCTTTTGACACCCCGGCAGGTAATTTGTATTTACCCCCGTGAAATATATATATAATCGTAATTGTTTGATACCTGAAATGTACGTATAGATTGCTCATTAATTCATTATTTTTCTGTTCAAGCATACATTTAGCTTTTTCCTACTTTTTGTGCAACGAAACCAACATAGCCTTCCATCAATTTGTATAGCAAACGTGATGATTTCATTTTTCTTATTGAGAATTTCCCATCTCTAGAGAGCAACATCCCTGCAACCCCAACTGATGTGGCGACAGTTAATTCCATATTCTAGGGTTTGTTCCGAGCTATGATTATCGTACAGGATATCAGCAGCAGACAAACTCACAACACAGGTTTCCAGAGATAGGAAGTTTTCTAGTCGTCATATTGATCTATTCTATTTCTTGGTGGATATGAAGCAGAACGATATTGATACTCATTATTATGACCGGTTGTTTTGTTGTTGTATACCTTGTTCTCCTTAGGGAACGTGACAGGGTACTTCTTACTTTAATTGACCAAGATTTACATGGGGGTGTATTTGATGAAGCATAAAAACGCTTAACTTTCCCGAACATCCGGCCTCATTCTCCCTGTACGTTTTCAGGAGTGTACATTTTTCTTTTGTTCATACTTTGCCTCATTTTTATCGACTTTATATTTGAATTTAGATTCTGTTCACATGTTGGTATTTGCTTTGTTGTATTTATCAAACGTTTTGTTACAAAATTATACATTGTACGTCACACAAATTATTTTTGCGTTAAATATCACACACTACAGAAATCCTGCTAATACCAAATGTGATGTAAAACTTGTCGATCAAATTCAACACAGAACCCTTGTACATGTAAACAGACGATGTTCACTCGATGTTTGGTTGCGACAAGAATCAGTCTTATTATTGATTTTTCATAATTCGGATATATCTTATAGGACACATTGTTACATAATGTTTCTAAATTTGTTTTATGGAAAAGAGTATCCATCCATCACCTGATCCATGCATTTTATATTGTAGTTACAGGTTCATCTGAGGCAACGGTTGCCTTCCATACAATCCTCACTCGCCCTTTGATTGACCCTGGTGTTCACCAATCCATCATCTTCGACAAAATCATTACCAACGTTGGAGCCCAATACAGCAGATACACCGGAATTTTTACCTGTAATCAACCTGGTGTTTACGTTTTTTCGTGGCAGATACTTTTAGAAGATTCGAACTACATTATTTCCGAAATAGCCAAAAACGGCAAAAGTGTAGGTTCACAAGAGATTGGCAACGCTCACTATACCGTATCAGGGTCTTCCACCGCTGTGGTAGAACTGGCCCAAGGCGATGAGATTTTGGTAAGAATCGCAGGTTTATCGGAAGGATCCGATGTATTGTCCGATATCACCATGTTCTCTGGCTTCCGATTGCCGTGATGTATCAATGTTTCAGAAAATACATCATATTGCTTAAGAAAGAAAGAAAAACAATAAATCCGGCAAGTTCGAAACTGCAGGACCGTTGTTACATATTTGTGTACTCATTCAAATAATCATCCTAACAAATATGTTTCCATTTACACAAGTCCTTGCGGAAAGAGACATTGACAGAGAGGTAGTGATGCAGGCTAATTTTATAGTGACGAAAACTTCTAAAAGTATAGTGTCGTAGCCATAAGCATCTCTAGTCGGCGATTTGTTTTATCTTATTTGAATCCGTCATCATTCTTGTGGCGCAAATCGTTGATTCCTACTATCTCAGAATCAAATAGTTTGGACGGAATTCGCAGCAGCTGCACTAAGCAGTGAACAATTAGAAAATATATGGCATTTTCTTTGAGCATTGATTCAGTAAACCATTATCAATGGATATGGAAAGAAATACTGAGTATCATGTTAATGACATGTACAGGTGCCCTACTGAAGTTTGTTGTATACGAAAGTATTCCGATATATTCAACACATCACAAGATAAAAATGTGCATCTAACTTATTGTACGTATCAACTTCCAACCTAGGGAGTACAACAAGAAAATTTACCAAAATATCTACAGAATCATATTCCAAACTCAAATTCAATAAAATAAGGACAAATTATGAACAAAAGACGCGGAGACTTCTAAAAATGTACTAGGAGTTAATAATACCAGGAAGAGTAAGAACCTTATGCTTTACCGACGACACCCGCCAAGTAAATATTTGCAAATCCAAGTAAGTCATGTCGCATTCTCAAATGAGAACAAGATATACAACAACGGAACCAACAGGCAAATTTTACCGTTCTGATTTTTCTCTGGTTTCATCGAATTTGTTTTTTAACATATGATTGTGTTAATATGTCGATATTTTTCGTTTTTGCTTTTGGCAAGACGGCTTTACTCGTTCATTTTTGTACATAATAACTTGTGTTACTGGTAATATATGGAGGGTGTCTCTTCCTTGACATGTATGATGCAAATATACAATAACGGGGATCGATCACATCCAACCGATAAGTTAATATTTGGGTTAATCATGTTGACTTCGGGTCTTTAAAAGAAAGATGACTTACACTATTAAGCTGCGACCAGTTACATTCCTCTCCACTTGGCATATGTCTTGTGGATGTATAATTACTTTCTTGTTATAATGTTATGTCATTTTGTATGCACTTTTAATTAAAGCAACACTACCAACTACTTCTGCTGCATTACCCTGTGCCATGATTCGGACTAATAACAAGTGTTTTGTTATGGAAAAAATTGTTGTTCACCATTATAAATAAGCCTCAACAATGACACTTAGTTTACAGATAAAGAAAGCGAAACATCAAGGCAAATAAAAACAGTTTTCGACTTTTAATAATAATAATAATAACTGACGAAAGTTATGAATCTTGTACATAAAAATATTTATAAGGAAGAGTATTACCTTTCCACATCTAGGTGTGAAGTACAAGACAACACTAGCGTAGTTTTATAAAGGTCTAAAGCTCTCAATCATTATAAGAACGCTGCACCATTTCTATAAAAACATGGATTATTTGTTATATTCTGTTATAGTGATTGACCTGTCGACAACCCGTCATCAGCGTGTGTTTTTACGATACATGTCAGTGTTTATATGGTATCTACAAAGGTCTTTGCTTCTGACAGGCACTAGGATTAGTAACTCTGATAGCGTGTCGACTGCCCTTCCTGTAAAAGAAAGGAAAAGAATGACGAAATGACACGTATATGAATGAGCCTATCAATAGCACGATTTAGCACGATTTTTTATCAACACAAAACATTTCGTGAACAGTCTATCTGAAAGCATTGTCAAACATTACACGAACTTCTGATAAGACTTTAATCAATTTGAAAGATTCCTCTCTTATTTTCGACGTTACGTATTGTTCACATATTATCGCTATATACCATACTATAGTTCTTTGCCTGTTGTGTTAGGTAACATAAAAAATGAGACAACAATATTGGAAGGGCGTTTGCTTGGAGACTGCAAGTATACAGAATGATTCACCACACGTACAATTGTTGGCACAGGTAAGGGACGCCATATCAAACACGGAAGAGGCAAAGGTGAATTACATAACAACCTTTGTACAGATAACCAACTGCTTTCTTTTTCAAATGTAGTTCTGAGAAAACGATGTCAGTTTCTGTCTGGGTCACTCTCGAATGTATTACGTCAGGGTCATTTGGAACGTGGTGTTGACATAACGTTGGTGATAATCTTGATAAAGCTATTGTCCTTACAAAGACGCGGGATATTTACTTACACCTATATTATGGTAGTTTCGTTATTGCATAATACATTGTGATGTGTAAACGCACGTATTTTTATATAATCTTTGACAGGATCCCAGTACAATTAGGAGGTCTATTGATATTCGAGTGAAATAGAAATTAAATTCGTACAACGAGACCTTGCTTTGGATTGACATTGACATAGATACAGAGATTATGATCCCTACTTTTACCCCATAAACTAAAGGGGAAATATTGAACAAAGACGAATGAATACGAATTCGATTCCATGTGTCTGGCTAGTTTGTTATTTACGATAGGCAGAACAAAATCCACCAAAACAGTAACATTTGACTTACATGCATGCGGCAACCTTCAGCATACACTTGTTGTCATACGTGACACCGTCAGAGCCACAAACGGGTCGGTAATGTACCTTGCTTACAGAACATGTTCTCCTCATCCGACATCCCTTCTTGAAACTGGAGAGTTTTCTGCGTGGGTGACGACCTCGTCGTCTTGAGAATTTCTTCGCCTTGTTCCTCTTTAACTGATTCATGCGTCTTGCATGACGATGCAATAAAATTTCTATATTTGGAATTTCCGTATCATCGACAATTTTCAGGTCACTTAATTTAGCAAGTTCATTCTTGCTAGAATATTCATCGTGGACTTGTTTCATTTTCATTTTGTTTGGAACTTCATGCTGATTGAGTCTACTTCCCATGCTGTGAACTTCGATGTCATCGAAATGTTTATGTATCCGAAGTCTCTTGTTTTGCCTCTGAGACGTGCGTGTGTTCTGCTTGGTATTTTCCCGAAAGTGGCGGTACCAGGGCTGGTGGACTGGTTTGGGTGGATTACCAGCAATGTGGGGAATATTTGGTGGGGGGACGACAGCAGTTCTGTCTAAGGCAGTTCGGTCTACAATGATGTCTTGTATCGGTTTCAGATGAAAGTCTCGACGATATGGCATTCTGGCAGCTGATACAACTGAAAAGGGTACAAATCTCATTTAATCAATCGCTGCTTCAAAACATTCTATACCGCCCACAAATTGCTTTAAACGTTAAGAATCTGCAAAATATTTTCACCTTAGTCAAAGATATAAAAAGTGTCTTAATAATGACTATAGGTTAAGGTTTTAACTCAGGCTGGGAACATGGACTGTTACTTTATTTATCATAGAGTAAAAGATCTTTTAGACTTTAAAGCTTTAAAGTGAAAATGTACTTGCCAAGCATAAATAAACGTGTTGTGTGGTAAAAAGAAGTCACAGAAAGTAGTTGGTGAATTAAAACGGATTTGTCTTTCCATTATAAGGCATAGTAATATGTTGTGTAAGGGTGAATGAGGGAGAGGGATTTCTGTCCTAACCAGACTTCACTCACAAAGTGTCATCCTTGTTTGTTTACCCGACGAGAAGGAGGTCAGCGTGTAAACAGTACTAGTAGTAGACTGACCTCTAAATGTCTAACCCAGCAAACAATGAACCACTTCAGGTAGAGCTGAAAGGAGACTTTATCCCGACCCATTCACCCCACCCAACTCTGTCTATAAGAGTTTTAGTTCATGCAGATATATGCTAATAATAGTGTGCAGTAGTATTTGTTCTTATATGCTATTTCAGTAGTAGAAACAGTATTCCATCACAGACTATTCATTTTAGTGTGTTCGGTAAACAAGACTTGACCTCTCTGCTCGACTAAACATATGCTGTTTGAAACAGTGCCAGGTTTGTTTTCATTGTTTCCTTCCGAATTCTATGCAGTATCTAAGGATATCGGGTTATCACTATTATAAATAGCGAACGAGTTCCCATGTTAATGGTTTAATGTAAGACTATGTGTTAAATCTTCACCGAAAAAATGTGAATGTTATTTCGTCATACCAAGCTATATCTGATGGTATAGACTAATTGAACTTTGGGCATAAATTTACCTGTGATAAAGCTACAGTTTGTTACCATGTGTTAAAAATTATACCAAACTATTATGAGAATATAATTAGTAGCTTACAACCCATAGTTTACCCACCCAAAACACATCGACGTAAAAGAATAATAAAAAAAACTGAGGCTGTCAATGACAGATTATCTTGCACCACTGACTACACAAAGTGCATGAAATAGAATCAAAGCGCTGATGTAAAAATCACCAAAAACTCTACAGAATATCTTATATTAAGATCGATTCCTTAGAATACAGGCGATATAATTAACTCACCTGTACAGAGGAACACCAGGTTACCTGTTACCTTCCGCCAAGACACTTCCATGTTGATATCGTGTTGTACGAGAAGTAGGTCTGAGTGGAGCTTTATACCCGGAGACCGGGTGGTAGTGTAACAACTGGGGCGCTGTAAATCCCGGTATCAGTTCTCAGTTCAGGTGTCGGTAGTATATACATTGGTAAATTAATCAAACATTTTTCCTTCTAAGTACCTATATGAATTGTTTTGTTTGTCATAACTTTGCCCTCAATTGCCATCTTCAAAATCAATAATTAGGGGGGATTTTTTTTTTTTTTTTTACAAAGAACGTACTTATAATAGCTAAAGATAGGATGATTTAAACGTGTACTTGACGTTGTTATTATCAGCTACATGAAAATTTCGAAATGTATAACAGGAGGTAAATTCTTTCGATAACAAGAATTTAACTCATTGTTTGGCTCTACTGTATCTGATCTTAATTGGTATTAAATGGTGGTATTCACTTGTGCGTCTTCTGTACAATCCATAAGATAGCATTTCTACCCACAGACTTCCCCCAGGTTAACTTAAAAATTGATGCTTTGTGAAGCCCGGAATAAATACCAAGATAAGCGAATGTAAATAAAGTTATAGAAAGCCAGGTGACTTAGAGGAATGTCCAACTTAGACTAAACCGGCTGACCAAGGGAAAGTGTCATTTACAGAAATATTAAACAGATAGAGAGGCCTGTTGGATGGGTCATTCTGTGACACCATAACTAATAACATGACGTCTTCCATCTTATAGTGAGGCATCAACGCAGATTTGAGTTTTACTTTTATGTTTTCCGCTTTAGAGAAGCGCGTATAAAAAAAGCCAGCAAGTAAAAAGGGAAAAAAAGGTATGATTTATGTGAATAACTAGGTTTTAACATTTGTTATTAACCATTCATTGCCTCACTGTTTTGTGTGAGATATCTGGTAAGTATTAACACATTTTTATACATATTTAATACATATCTATTTCACATACATTCAATTGGCCCCACGTTATCTCTAAATAATAAAGCTACTACAGGATGATGCCGTTTTAACAAAGATATTCAATGTCGTCTAATTCAGTTTTTATTTTATTATGATACTACATTTAACAAGAGATATACAAACACCTTTCGTATAGATACTTCAGTTTTGGGACAAACAGGATTAAACCGTCAGTAAGATCTATCAGTAATTATATTTTCTATTTCCAATACATTATACAATTTGTTCAGGTTTGTTGAACTCTTTAAGAACATTAGCATACTGAAGAGTAAGCAATGGTGTAATTCTGAGAATCAAGTAGACCAAATTAGAGAAGAACAAAGTGGAAAAATAAACACGTATAAGTCATATCGTAGGAGTCTGTGATTACTGACGGATTGTTTAAACACTCGTTATATCTATGTAACAGATCTGACGACTGCTGTTACGGGCATCCGGCAACTACAGTTGGTGAAGTATGAAGTCATATTAAAGAAAAGAAGAGTAGAGAAAGAGACGACAGTCTAATTGCATATGTCCTATTAGCTATATTTTCTTATATCTTAATTAACATTGCTTTAGGAAAGCTGATGTGTTTCAGCATATCATACGACATGATCCGTTGTGTGGAAGGAATGTAGAGGAGTGAAGTCATACCTATGTTAATTTGTCATAATCTACGTTTTTCTCTCTATGTAATGATACACTGATTTTATCAACGTAATTACTAACCTGCCTGGTATTTCGGTAAGTTAGTTGACAGTGAAAACAATCATTTCATCGGGCTTGTTAAGGAAGTCATATAGATACGTCGCAGCGGGCCAATATTAAATAGAGACGACGGGGGCCACAGTTAACTTAAAATGCGTAGCCGACTTGACTACAGTACATTGTTACTATCTTTTGTATATTTGGTCAAAACTCCGTTTACCATCTCCTCACAGTATCTTCGATATTAGTGTACATAAGATTATAGTACAGCCGAAAAGGTTGGGTCAATTCTTTATCATCTCGTGCACTAAGTACGTTAGAGCCAGTGTGTTTCATACTGGTCATTTTTCTGATGAAGGTGAACGTGTAGGCATTGAAACGTCACAGTAATCTTCTATTGATTGTGTTATACAAGCTGTTATTCTATTAACCTGCCCTGACATGTTCCGGCGCTAACACGCTTTCTCTTCATTGGCATTACATGATAGATGGTACCATTATGCACTAATATTTCTTTAGTGGTTTTACATGCAGTTTTCAATGATCATCATTTCCTTACTGTCTGCCACTCTTTTACTCCCATATCATGACTTCCATTCTAATTATGAATGTACAATCATTTTCGTTTCTGCTATAATAAAATATCATTTTTTATTTACATGTGAGAGACATGTGACATACATATTCTAATATCAGATTGTGTTCGCACATAAACATCGCTTGTGATGCATACAATCAACAAAGAAAAAAATGAAAATCGTGTCAAACATAACCTTGATTTAAACTTAAATTCGATGAAAAATGTTTGATACAGAAATATATACACGGAGGTTTCTGAAAGAGCACAAGGAGAATAAGACAAGTTGTTTCGGATGGGTAAGTGTCTTCCAATTCATCAACGTCAGCCACCATGTCAATCTTATTAAATCCAAGTAATATCACGTTCTTGTGAGACGGTTCTTGTTATGTCCTACTGATTGACATCAAAATCAGGACAGTCAATATGATTTACCATGCAGTTGTACAGCCGACCTTTCACCTCTCCATGGAAACAGGCTATGCGCCTCGCTGGGTCGTTCTAATTTCACCTGTATTTTTCAGATCTTTTTCAAATGAGAAGATTTATTGGCCTCTTCGGCATTATATGACTTATAGATTTCCTCTTCAACTTGTATCGATGATAATAAACTTTTCTATACCAATACCAACCATGTTGTGTATTTATAGAGGACGTTCTGAGCCCTACATATCTCTGTATTGTGAGGGTTTTTTAAATCGTAAACTCGTTTTCTGTTACATAAAAATATGTTACTTGCCGTTTTTGTTTACCCCAAGGCTACAGTTAGATAATAACGTGCAAACCTATAACATAAGGAAGATTTCATCAAAAGTTGGAGGAAAGTTTGCGTCTGCCATTATTATTTTTCTTAACTAAATATCAACATTGTATTACCTACAACTGGCTGTTTTACTCTTTTGATCTTGTTTCATCAATATGAGTTGGAATAAGGATGTTGTTCAAACGGCTAATTTATTTCAATCTGCAACCTGCATTTTTACAGATATTTCAAATTGTCGGGCTAAAGCCTATTATTTAAAATATCTATAAAAATGTAGTTAACGACCAATAGATAACAAGAAAGAAAAATGATTTCCTTAGATAA